TCTTTTCCTCCCAAAGATACATCATGGGAATGCCGAAATCCAAAACGTTTAGAACAGAATCCGGAATTGTTGGAATTGGATTTGGAATTCGCGTTTCCTAATATGGTTGGATGAAAATATCCAGTGCAATACCGCAAACTTATTGCACGCTATAATGTAATTTAATGTAATGTAAGTATAATATAAGCATAATTTAATAATCATTGATTGTCCTTACCTCATTCAAAATTTTGACATTTAAAATATAATGTTTCGCAGCTCGTTCATATGCTTTCTCTTTTTCAAAATATTCTCCAAGTCTATAGTTTATTTTTGCTGTTAATAAATGGTTTTCACCGTATGCCTTCAGACATGCGTCAAGGGCGTCTGTGTATGTCTGTTAAAACAATTAGACACAAGATACAATCAATTTAAAGAAATGTGTTTTTATAAATTTTATAGATGTCTAAATATGTGCTCAATAATTGAGGCATGACTACATATGCTAAACATGTGTACCAGAGTTTTTTTGCAGCTACTTCGCCGTATGTGCTATTATCTTATACATATCCTGGTTAAAACATCATTACGTCGCATGTGATTTCCTGTTTCGCGGAAATGATCATTTTAAATGCATAGTTAAATATTATAGTATTTTGTTTTGGGAAGTTATTTATACATTGTAATTTGTGTTAGTGATCACGAGATTAGGTTTTTTCTTAGACCCGGCATCTTTTTTTTTCAATTTAAACTTAATAAGCTTTTCAGTTTAGCCTTTGATAAACGTGTTACAATTAACCTGCAGTTGTTCCTCTCCTCCCAGCATTGCTTTGGTCATCACGGATTCAGCAAACATGCCGTAACTCTTAACCTTTAAAAAAGATGAAATAATGTTGCAGTACAGTATTGGTATTAATTTAATTCTAATCTATCAATACGTCTATCTATCAGTACATCTATTTACTATTCTATTTTCAAATGCTCGACAAAATAAATATACGTCGTAATCGTACCTCTCGACTTATTCTAATAGCCTCTTCTATATGTAAAATTGCTTCTCTTCTCGCTTCATTCTCTGTGAATGATTTATCTGCACCAATGTGTATCCACCAGTATAGGTCTTCAACATATTTTATTTGACTCATAGCCATCTTGTACTGTTAAAAACACCGCAAACATGTTAGTGACATAATAAGCAATACGACGCCAATTAATGAGGTTAACTGACCAGGTATTAGTTTATCCGGTTCTTTTTATTCACGTTTTAAACCTAACCTACAAGTTGTATTTTTTTTTTAATAAAAAAAAAATGAGGAAATATAAAAAAAAACGATCCCTGAAAATAGCCAAAATAGAAAAACAAATGATTTGTGTTCCTTACATGGGCCCTCAATGGCATGGACTAGGTTTCTAACCAATGACGTAATCCTCGTAACACGGATCTATTTCTAGAATAACCATATGCAGATAATATTTTCCGTTCAAACTTTTATTGCTCAACGTGTCGCGATGACTATATCATTGTTAGCATAAGGAAGAGTAGCCTACATAAAAATCAGTGATTTGGGGTTCGTTTGAACAGACACAAGTCTTTTGTATTTTCACGATCACTCGCTAGCACTGCACTATTTTACTTATTTCTTATCCATTTTCATCTTTTTTTATTTTATAAAAAAAGAATAAGACTTGTAAGCAAATCTATCAATGAAACTGAATAGCCAGCTTGAAAAGGCCTGTAGTGAACATCTTCTGCCGTGTCTAGATTCAAATACACACAGGCCTGAAATTCGGACAAATATAAAACACCTCTTTCGCATAATCACGCCAAATAAAGAAAACCATAAAACAACAGTCTTGTTTAATTTGTTTTCATTCATTCTGTTATGTGCTTTTATGAAATAGAGAGTTGTTTACCTTGTGTCTTTCTTTCGTAAAATAGAAATTATGTCTAATTTTGATAGCATCTTTATAGGACCTAAGTAACTGCCTTAACTGATCTCTTTGTCCACCAGTAATGGGTTTGTAGGTACAATGTAAATACTGTAGAATATAAAGAATATGTCTGTTACATACATATGCACATTTCCTGAATTTGTAAATGATATGTGTATTGTTCTATACATTCATAATTGTATTGTTACATACATTTAGTTGGTATTTATTTCATAATATTGAATCAATATTATGTTTATACAAAGAATTGCTATAATTTTTAATTCATACATAAAAGAATATTTGTAAATGACTAATTATGTTCGTATAATATATGTATTTTTATTTGTGTTCTATCGTAATTATTTCATTTCGAAGACAACCGAAATCATGCTTGAATTAGATTTGCTAAATTATTAGCTTGTCTAACCACTGATCATTTACTTACTTTATGTTGAATATCACCTGCAAGCGTGTACATCTCAACCAACTCTTCGTTTGGGTTTGTCCTGCAACGTTTCTGTAATTCTATGGCTCGTGAAATTAAATCTTTTGCACCAATGTACTGTTCGCCTAATAACCTGAAATAGAACAATTATATGTAGTTATAATTTTATATGTATTTATGTTTATTTTATCCTTATTTTTAAAAACCTTATAATAATAATTAATAACAAAAATTGATATCTAATATAGACTACATACATTATGAACACATAAAGGCGCGGCACACGAGAATCGAATTCATGACCACGGAAAAGCGCTTCCGTCGCCGCTGTAAGCAAACACACCTCGCCTCGTCAAAAACCATAGTGAGCCATGAGAGCGGATTTAAATTAATCCAGTATCTACTTACCTGTTAAATATATAATGATAAAAATTGTATACACAATATACAAGTATTATAATATCTGATTGTTAGTATTCGAAAACAATAATGTAAAACACGTTAAAATAGCTACATGCCATTTTAGCGAACATCACTCTGTACAACAGTCGTGAATTAGAGAAATTACGGATTAGCGAAATTATCTAAAATACTAGTAACATGCTCGCTAAAAATACGTGTTTTACAGTACTTTATTATAATAGGTGGAAATGTGGAATTGATACTGCAAACCAAACAATATACCCACACAAGTTACCAAGAACATGACTTTAAAATTATTTCGCTCTCATACTAAAATAACCATCCCGATTACACCGTTACATAACTTACAAAAGTTTGGCAAGTTGGCTGTATCTGTGGGCTATTAATTCTTTGCTATCTTCAGTTTCTTCTAATTCTTTCATGGATTCTTTGTAAATATCTACCATAGTGTTATGGCCGCCGACCTGAAACACGACATTGTAGGTCCTCAAGAATAGTAAATATGGAATATTCAAACATGCCCGTATTGTTTTGAAGAGTATACAGTAAGCCAATTGACCAAATGATTGAGAGTGCAGTAATACAAATAATAGTACGTGTATCTGAAAATTTACAGCATTGCTAGCTTCAAGCGCGGCAGTCGTCGCGCTGCGCATGTGCCACATTTGTGTTGATAAACATTGATTTTCCCACAACCCAATGCGCTCTTCAAATGGAAATCATAAGTATGAGGTTTGACCTGGACGCGACTTGCACTGATTACCGCCGATGACTCCTTCCATACCTTCCAATAACATGAAAATTACTTAATTAAAGCTTGGAAAGGTCTCAGTTCGTACTCGTTGATCTGCGCAACAGTCAAAGTCGCCATTTTTGTTTACATGAGACCCATATATCTCGCACATGCGCAGCGCGACAACTATCGCGCTTTAAGTTTGTCGTTGAAGACATTTCACACAATTTAAGCTTATATTTTCTCGGAAAGTTACTTATTTTGTGTTCATACAGCGTGCTGAATATGTCTTAAACATACAGATGATGATGAAAATGGAATTTGTAGCAAAGATCGGCGTGTGTACAAGGGTATGTTTAATTGTAATGTGTGCTTACCTGTTTCCATACACCTAGTACACTGAACATATCGTCTTGTAGTAGGGAATCCAATATTTCCCAGTCTGTCAGGCATCTGTGGATTTGATCCTGTTTTCCTACTTTCACAACTTGGTAGAAGAATTCCTACAAGAATTTCAAATAAAGACTCCGTTTACTCTAACTATATAAATAACTATACACATTTTTCGCTGTACATGTACTTATATAAGTGATATTTTATGTTGGATCACCAATACAATATAATATCATTCTATGCGGATATTCATATTTATTTCATCTGCTGACTTCTAAGATAAAACGTACAGAGCATAGTATTATCACCCCAGGTATACCTCGGTTTTTCTGTCGTTTCCTTCAAGTTCAAAGTAGTCAGACAGCTTACAGTGCCACCAATCTTTGTTCTCTTTCCGTTCTGTGTCCGTTATCTTGAAACAATCATCATCTCCGTCACCAGAAAGAAAATTCCTGAATAAATACAAGAAAAAAGTACACACATCAACGGAAAGTCGTCCACTTGCACTATAAGTGTTCTTTAATTAGGTAATTTCATCAATAGAGGGCGTTTCAAAAGACCATGGCTTACATTCTGCGAACTGCGTTCTTGATCGCATGATGGCGTAGATCAAGCTTGATATCTTCATCGTCAATACCGTCATTATCCCTTTTAACGTAAATTTTAAGTTTCCTGGTGTAGTGACGCAGCGCTTGATACACGGCATTCCAACGTTCTTCGGCCACTTGTTCGTATACCCTATTGAAAGCTTAAACAAATGAAATTTGGCAATGTGACTGCAAGCTGCAAAACGTGAAGCTCAGATAAGTTATGCTGGCCTGATCCCCTATAAAAACAATTAAAAAGCTATGCCAAGTCCTTTTTTGTGCAACAGTATTCACCAAACGTTAAATGCAGTAATTGCTGAGGTTAATAATCAGCAATTTCACGTAAAAATTCACAAATGAAATAATAAGTCACGAAAAATAACTAATAATATGATAACGTGAATGCAATAGAACAACAAGGTTATTATGCAGGTATTGTATGCCGCATCCAGGGTTCAACAAATTTTCACCACGACAAACCGCATATATATAGGAGTTATTAAAATTGACATTCTGCAAAAGAATTCCTTGTTTTACAGCATTCGGCCTGTAGGCTGTGAAACAAAACAAAAAACTCTGAAACGGGGGTTTAACATCATTATGGATTTGTATGATGCCAACACGAGAAATTGGCCAGTTTTATTATTCTTTTGTCTACAAACTACGACTATCCAAACACGTTAACAGACTCTGAACCACTACTGTTCATACAAAAGAATACACCGTTTAGTATTTTGTCCGAGTTTAAGCAAATCTGTAAAGAGCTTCGGAATAATTAAAGTATAAAAATAGTTCAGGAAATATTGCTGCTCACTTATTTTGATATCTCCCAATCCCGCAACATGTACCGGAAATATGGTACTCTCGTCACCAAGAATCCATTTCATTTCCGACACCAGCATGCCTTGCGCGGAAAAGCTAAGAAGAAAAAGAAACCCGGCTACCAATCGATCCGTTCGATCACCTGATACTTCGAATCGCTTAATCACATCCGCCAACATCCTGTTAAAACACAACATTCAGAAATCAGCAAATTTACATCCATTCCTGTTCACTGCATTTAAAACATATTGCTATGAATTGCAATGATCTAATAATAAATGTGACGTAATTACGCACATATTTTTTTATTATATTCACAACCTGACTGGACTTTTTTTTTAAATTTCAAAATGACCTTTCCGTACAAACGATCCATGCACCACTGTTCTCTGAGCCTACATTAAAACAATACTTATAATTGTCACCATATTACTAGTATACTTAATTAATATCCTAATTGTTACAGATTTACACATAACATCTGATATGTCATGTCATGTCTTCACTTACGTGTCAATGTTAGGCGGTATGTCTTCTATTCGTTTCGTCACCATTCCGTCTTCCTCTATTGCAGCTAGTTCGTCGCACGCCAAATTTAGCCACAGTAAATTTGCAGACGACTGTTTAGCCGACAAACAGACTACTTGATCAGCGGAAAGCTCTTTGCCAAGTCTGTGCATAATAGTTTTAATTAGTTCCTGAGGAAAAGTTACAGGGTATTCATTACAATATACATAGAAATTATGAGATTATTAATCAAATTTCGATCATTTTAAATTACTAGTAGTACTTTCACCCAACAGTGGTGATGTTTCACCAATTTTCACCAATTTCTTCAATATTTTAGACCAATCAGGCGAAATTCGACCTTTTTACAGATTATAATCAAATATATTGAAAAAAAACAAAGGATAAAATTGCAATTATCCGTGCGCGTCGTCGTCTCACCTGTCGTTCCGACGGACTCGGTGGTAGAATATGAACCTCTTTTATGGATGGTATTCTTTCCTTCAGTTTTTGATGGACAGCTGTGCCTGTTTCTGTGGAGCAAACTAAACGTACTTTTGATGACAGTTGTTTGGGGATCCACCTTACGACGTCGTCGTCTTCAAAGAAATCGTCAAACTAGAGTTAAATAGGTTAAAGACAAGAAATGATTAAATTTAAACGTAGCACTAAAAAAATACGTATACGCCAAATTAAAGATAAGGAATTTTACTAACCACGTGACACGCAAGACTAAATACATTGTAACGCAGGGTGTGCTGATGACATACATTTACGTCACGCTCATATCTGTCGCTGTGATTATAATATCATTTTAATTTCAGACAGGCATAATTGATTGGATGGACAGCCAATTCATTCATTCATAATTAATTCCAAGGTCATACGATTTGCTTACTGCTTTGGTGCACCTTTATTCAAGTTTTCTTACTTTTTAGATTAAACAAATGTTCAAATTCAAAGTATGCCACAAACTGTATTTGTTTTTCATTTTATTTGCGTCGTGACTCGCTGCTATCGTGACAGACATTGCCACGTGCAGTATTGGATGTCATCTTACCTGGTCTACCGCATCCATTACCAATATCATGGGTTTGCATAGAGGATTGGATAATGCTGCGTACGAAAGTTGTACTAGTTCAGTCATACTTTCTGGCACTGTGAATTCCTAACAACAATAAATATATAGAGTGGTTCAAATAAAAGTATTTGATAAATGTGTCGATTATTTAAACATCATGTCTATTACCCATGGCCCACTGTTCATCGATGGAAAGAAACAAACCCAAGATGTACATAACATTTAAAAAATACCCTCAATTATAAAAATATAAATAAAGTTATTAACATTGTTTTACGCGATCGACTGGGCAGTTTTCGGCTATAAAATATCAATCTAAAAATAGCCTGAGAAACCGATGGGAATACAACAACACCCTCCCAGCTAAGTAGTTTCTATTTCATTGTCAGCGTTCGGAGTATTCTTGTATTTTAGTCGGTGTTTGTCCGCAACTGTGTTACTGGTACCTGTAACTGTAAGTCAGTGCTGTATCAATAAATATTAATATATTCACTCACAGTTGCAGCACCGATTTCTAAGACTAAGCGCCTTAGCATATGGTACAGGTTCCCAGAACCAGGAATAACTCTGACGAAATAGTAGAAGACATGCCAGTGTTGACCGTTTGAACTATAATAAAGACAATACAAGCCATCAGTAAATCACAAATATATAATAATTATGTAACGCACTAACACATACTGTGATTGTGGAGTAAGATCACCAGTTCAATTTTGATGGAACATCATATGACACCACATCCCGCAGATTCTAAGCTCTCGCGTGACATTGGTGCCGTAAAGAAGAGGAATAATATGTAATACGCCTCTGGTCTTACCTGTTGTGTTCTCTGTCCCCAACCACCTTCGCCAGAAGTGACGTTTTCCCTTCTCCCGGTTCGCCATGCAACAATAACGGCACATGTTGTGGAGGGCCAGTAATGTACTCCAATATTTGACCCAGTATGTCAATACGGCCAATAAAGTCATTTTCCAGATTTCGTACAATTTTCTGAATAATACGTAGATCACTTATAATTACAATTATATTTCACAGTGAAGATGGCATTTTACTATACATATTAGCTCTAATGTAAAATGGCTAAAATATACGATAAGTGATATAAGTGTTGTTTACAAACAATATCTACCTGTTGCAGGTCCACGTGATCAGAAGCATCGATATCTTCTGCCTTGGCTGAATTCTCCTCGGCTACTGGCTCGGACCCATCGTAATACCAATTCGAGTCCGTCGGTTCGACGGCCGTATTGAACTCTGGTACCATGGACGATGTGACGTCAGAGTCGTACAATCTGCTATCGTCAGCCGTAGTAGAAATCTCATGACCGATTTTTTTCTTCGGAAATTTTACCAGATTTGTAGATTTGTTGGTGTTGATAACTGTTGGCTTCGATGTGCCACACCCCATGGCTGATATCAGATCATGTCTATGCGTCGTTCGATAGCTGGAAACATGACAATATACTAGTAGTATATTTTTATAACTTCATTTTTTTGTATTGGATTTGTGTTCAGGATGATGCTTCGCAGCAAATTATTACCCTCAAAAAACAAACTATGACATTTTAGTGCACACCATTTTGTTATAATATTTTTTATATTTAGAAAGTTTTAGTGACTATTAAAAACGATTCAAATCTATTAAAACATCAAAGTACACTTGGTTATGTGCTAAATTGTGCCTTAATTCAGGTTCTTTAGTTGGTCACGGTGAAGGGTTTTCAAAACTAAATAGCTCCTAGAGTTTTTTTTTATCTTCCAATTCATTTGAAATCTTCACACTTAGTTGGCGGCATGTAAGGCTAAACTTAATATAGGAACCAATGCCAATGCCAGTGTTAAATATTTGAGTAAAAACATTCATTTTGACTCATTGTAAGAGAAACACACTATCATTACACCAGACGCTTTTTTTTTATAAAAAAAAAAGATATCATCATTACTTCAATTATACTTATATTTTGGTGCATGCGCAGTACCCTCGCACAGTCACGTTAAGCAGGCCGTTCGAAAATTTACCTTTTGTTAATTTTTTCAGCAATTTGATTTTTATAAATTAATATGTTCCACTTTTAATAGAGCTATGTATGTAGTTGGCTAATACATATACCGGGAAGTATTACTTCTATACGGTCAATACATATAACCTTTCTAGTCCCACTCTTTCCCATGACGGTGTGACATCGGTATGCGCCAATCGATAGCATGGCGTGCACTATGACAATGGTTGGCGTGCTGGTGAAATTACTG